ACATCCTATCTCCGGAACAGAGAACAGTCATCTTGACCTGTAAATATCCCTAGCCTTAGTCATATAAAAATAGAGTTCCAATAAGGTTCACACAGTGTTTCAATTCAGCGGGGATTTGAAGCCAGACAGAATTATTGGGAGCAATTTAGGGCAAGGCATGCAGATATTTTTGCCCTCATGTTAGAGAGAGAACTGAAGTCTGTGTGTATGTTTGGGAGGGAGGAAGAGGAGTGGGGAAGAGGGGAGGGAGTCAGGCATCGATTAAGAAAATCTATAATTCACACCCTCACTGTATCATTGTGTATAGGTGTCGCAGGTTAAAAAAGATGGCACATGAACTTATGTAGTAAGTAACTGATGTGCAAGATAGGGATGGAAGAGTATCACAAGAACATAAGCAACAATTTCTCTGATGAATTGGTCATTAATCTCATGGCTGTTTGTGGGATTACATTGTACAACAAAAATAGCCACATTTTTATCACATCAAAACATCTGAAAATGCTTTACAGTAATTCCTGTCAAGCGTAATGACTCTTTATGTAGGCAACCAACTTGAACACAGAAAGGCCTCATAAGTAGCCATGAAGTGAATGACCAATTTTATGCAGGAAATTGTTGCCTTCGACCCCAGAATAAACTTCCTTTCCTTTTGAATAGCATCATGGGATTTTTAATATCAACCTAAAGAACAGGCAGATGTTTGACATCTTATCCCAGGGACAGCACTCTGAAAAACACAGCACTCCCCCACAAATGTACTGGCAAGTCAACCTACATTACATGCTCAAGGTAACCAACCCACAACCAGGGGTCTAGATGTAAAGCAGCTGCTGTTTTTGTCTCCCTCTTTGAGGAGAATTATCTTGCTTCACTCTCAATCTTCACATGTGTGCAAATGAAAAGATGAACATTACAATGTGAGAAATTGTGGCGGTAGTGTGGGGGAGAAAGAAGGAGGAGAATCAACTTCATCGCTATTAATGGGGAGGTAGCTGACTTTCAATCACCAATTCACTGCACTATTGCCAGTGTACATTGCATTCTGAAAAAGAGTCGTGGACCCGAAAAGTTGACTCACTTTCCTTTCTCCATAGATGCTGCCTGACTTGCTGAGTGTTCCCAGCGACTTCTGTTTTTGTTACATTTTAAGTCAAGTCATGCTGTGAAACATTATTTTTCATGTAGATTTGTGACATTTAACCTATTATTTAACTGAATTGGGTGTAGATGATACAAACATTGGTGCAACAAGTGGAAAATGCAAAGGCATCAAGTTTAAAATTCTCACAAACAATGCCAATAATCCAAATAATTTCCTAACAGAAACATGGATAATTCAATTCTTCTGACAAAGATTGGTCATGTACTTGGACAAAATAAAAGCATGAACAATTGTATTGTCGTTTCAGATGAAAGAACTGACAACCACTTTCTATAGTTAAAACTTAAGAGAAATTTCTCCTTGTGAAAATCAGCACAAAATCAAGACCCCAAATAGTCAATATCAGTTTTCCCAGCAAAGCAGCATTTTGTAAAGAAGTTAGATCTGAATATTTTATACATAAAATATTAATTGAATCCCTAATTCACTCATACATGCCAACAAATGTCATGTACATTTGAACTTTCCTCACTAACATACGACGATTCAATAGACATTTGTATCACTGAAAGGGTAAATAATTGTTCAGTACAAAACATGTTTTGATATTCTTTTCTCACAATAATTTGCATTCGACCCAGTTTTGTGGTTCTGTTTTTTTACCTAAAAAATAAGATACAACTGTAGCTTTGTGCAAAACAGTCCCCAGTTTACATATTAACAATGAAGACTGTCCCCAAACAGCAAGATCTAAGCCATCCAGTTCATTAACAACCACCCAAGCCTATTATTCTGTTTACTACTTAATAGATATTCACTGCCACAATTCAGGGCTGTGTGCATACAGATTCAATTTGCTCAAATCCCAGGTGCAGAGTAATCCTGATGGAGATTAACTGAATTTATCTCAGATTTCTTCTGAAAAGCAACACAGCAAGCTTGTCTCTTGATGTTTCTGATGTCATTTCAGTAAAAACAAAGATACAAATACAGTACTGTCAAAACCTAAGTATAGTTGTTTAATCCTGGTCTCTTCTAACTATTCCTTACCTCTTGTGACAACTTTATTCAGAAATCTTAAATTATGTTAAATCTGTTTGTTAGAAAGAACACATTATGAATGAACCTTACAGCAGTCTAGCTGCTGGGACTGACAGACTGGAGTACTGTGAAGAAATCCCAGTCATGATCAATATTTGAAAAGATTAAACACTCCTGAGCATTAGGTCTATCCATCAAAGATTTAATGCATTCATATAGATCACTTGCATGCATTTTTCTAAGATAAACTGAAACAGTTGCTCTCTCCCTATCCTCTGAAGCTATAAACTTTTCTATTTATTTTTCTGTGATGTTCGTATTACTAAAGCAAGCTTTACTGCTACCTTGAAGAAGGGTTTCAATATTGTTTTAATTGTGCGATCAATGTATAGGTTGCTACCTTAACTGAGCTTTGCTTTTTTCCTATCTCTGAAAATGCAATGCAACGCTAAACTAAAAATAGTTATGTTCAATTTCACATCAACAAAGGACAAAAATACTTCAACATGTTTTCATTGGTTGCTGTAAAACATTGCATAAATAAAATACCAGCTTGGTAAACAAGCCAATGGTCAAATATTGTGTTCTGCAAAAATACTGCTTTCACATTATCAGGCTTGTTAAAGGGAAAGTAATGTCTAAAGAGGGAGTACCTTCTGTTCAAAGTATTCTCCCCAGCTATAGTAGAAAACTGTCAGAAAATTATATTCTAACTATTGGAGAGAAGAAAGCTTATTTTGTTCATTCTTCAAATGTAGACAGGTTAGGTGAGTGGGCAAGAAGGTGGAAGATGGAGTATAATTTGGGGAAGTTATTCACCTAGGTAGCAAAAATAGAAAAGCGGACTATTTTCTAGAGCGGGAGAGACTAGGTTGTGTTAGTGTTCAGAGGGATTTGGGTGTCCTTGTACACCAGTCACAAAAAGTTAGTATGCAGGAACAGCAAGCAACACGGAAGGCTAATGCCATGTTGGCGTTCGTTGCAAAAGGGTTAGAGTACAAGAGTAGGGAAGTCTTGCTGCAGTTGTATAAGTTCTTGGTGAGACCGCACCTAGAATATTGTGTGCAGTTTTGGTCTCATTTAAGAAAGGACATACTCGCCTTAGAGGGGGGTGCAGCGTAGATTCACTAGGTTAGTTCCTGGGATGAGGGGGTTGACCTATGAGGAGAGGTTGAGTAAACCAGGCCTATATTCTCTAGAATATAGAAGAATTAGAGGTGATCTTATAGAAACCTATAAGATTCTTAAGAGTCTTGAGACTGTTTCCCCAGGTTGGAGAAATTAGGGTCATAGTTCAAAACGGCTGACCCTTAATTTTGAGACTGAGTTGAGGAAACGTTTCTTCACTCAGAGGGTCGTGAATTTGTAGAGTTCTCTCCTCCAGAAGCCGTAGATGCTCAGTCCTTGAACATATTCAAGACTGAGATTGATAGGTTTCTGAAGGATAGAGGGATTAAGGGATATGGAGATAGGGCGGGTAAATGGAATTAGGTTAGAAGATCAGCCATGATCTTATTAAATGGCGGGACAGGCTCGAGGGGCCAAATGGCCTACTCCTGCTTCTGCGTCTTATTTACCATAAGGCATCTTCCATGTACTGCAGGGTTTTTGGTACAACCAGAATTAAAGAAACAATTATGAGGGCAATATCCCTGTAAGCATTTTGATGTCATGAAATCACAGTAGTGGAGTTTATACGATCTCCCCCTACTCTTGGGAACTTTTAAAGCTGAGCTTTGCCGGTGGATTTTTAAGCAAAGCAAATAAATAGAATAAAGAAAACTTAGTATTCAAAGAACTTGTGATAACCTGAGCAGATGGCAATGCACATGTAGCATGCCAGTGCATTTGAAGAATAAAGACCCTACAAGGTAAATAACAGGAATTTCTTCCTCATTTAGGCATCCTCCTCATCCCAAGAAGGTCTCACTAAGTGACAATCAAATCGAGCAGAAGGGAGTTGGGTTTTGAGAGAGCAAAGACGAGAACCCACTAAATTGTACTTTATCTGCAGCTTCCAAATCTTGGCTACGCAGCACTATCTCTATGTGTACATGTAACTATAACTAATAGTACACATATTGTCCATAGACAATGTGGAGCTATGGATTATATAGAATGTCCCTTTACTGGTATCAGAAGAAATAATAATAATCTTTACATTTGGAATAGCACCTTTCATGTCAGAGGGATGTCTCCAGGTGCTATACAGGATATATCATAAAGGAAGTGATGTAAGTTATTTTTGGTGGCGAACGTGGCAGCTACTTTGCGCACAGCAATGTCCCACAAACAGCAATGAAGTGAATGATCAATTTATTTGGGGGAATTGTTGGCCAGGACACTGAAAGAAACTCCCTTCTCTTTTTCAATGGAGCCAGGGGTTCGTGTAGCTCAGTGGTTAAAGTACTCGCCTTGCAAGCGAGAGACCTGGGTTCAATTCCCTGCAGGGCGAAATGTTGTGCAATTTTCCTTACTTCACACGCCTCTGTTTACCTAACAGTAAGTAGGAACCCAGTTGTTAGTCGATTGGTGGATCATTTTTCCAGGGATAATAATTCCTTCAAAAAAAAAGTAATAATAATAAATTGGTCATTTCAATTCATGAATGTTTGTGGGACACTGCAGTTGGCTGCCTCGTTTCACCCACAAAATATACAGTCATTGCTGGTGCAATCCAGATTCCCATGCATACAAGCAGGAAGCTGGCCGGACAGCCATGACTCTCTTGCACCTTTCCAGATAGCAAGCACCACTTTGTCTCATGGCTCAAAATTTGCCTATTCATAAGTCACCTAATACTCCTGAAAATATATTACCTCTTTAGTTGTCCAGAAAAAATAATAGCCATTACCTTAACAAATGTATTGAATTCGTCCACTCTTCCATTAGCAAGAATAAGTTTCTGCTGAATAACCTCCAGAGCCTGTCCACTCTGCATAGCCAGTCCATGCAGCTGCTGGGACGCTGTGGTTTCAATTTCAGTCATTGCAGATTCAGCTTCAATCACCTTGCTTTTGAGGTTGTGCAGTTTCTGGTTCTGAAATGCATGGAAAGAAATAATAAACACATATCATCAAAACAGATCCTGGAGCATAGATTCAGGGAGGAGGACACAATCTCCACAAGGCCAACAACAGACTTCCATAGCTTAAATGAAAGGGAATGTTAGGCATTATCTAGAAAGAGTCAAACAGTGAAAATAGGCTAAATTATCAGATTTCATGATGGAGGAGATGCTGATCCCTGGATGACTGAGTGGCAAATCAATTGTCCAAAAACCCAGTTTTCCACTCAACTTTCCAATTTTTGATGGAAAACATGTGAGAAAAACCCTGGAAAATCCCTCTCCACCCACTCAACTGTTAGGATATTTAGATTCACAATGTACATTTGGTGACTCACCAAGAAAACATGTAAATATTTACAATATACAGGTAAAGTACTGTGAAATGTTTTTATTCCTTTGTTCTACTCCTCTTTCACTGTCTCTATGGAGAAAAAAAATTTCTACTGCTTCTGCGGCTGTTTCTAGTTTCTCTTTCTGCTTATTCCCTTCCACTCGTTTTGTTTTGTTTCATTGTTTGCCTTTGGGACCTACTGGAATGTGTAATATGAACAACAATCATAACCACAGAGATTATTGGAGAATCTAGGCATCTATTTTGACAGTTATCTGGAAGCAACGGAAAGACAAAACCCAACAGAATACAACGGGCTTCACAGAATTTTATGTGGCAAAATCCTTCATTGTTCAATATTAAGCTCAACACTTTCTTGTAACCTATATACTAGATTAGAGCACGCCTTACCTTTTTCTCCAGTTCTTCAATGGTTCTGTTGTACATTTGCTCATATTGTGACCTTGCTTTTGTTGCCACATTAAGTCTTTGCTTTAGTGATTCTGTGAATGCTTTCCTACTTGAACTTTCTTCAGTCAATGTTTTCACCTACAGCAAATCAAATGCACACACCTGTTCAGAGAGGTCTTAAAATATTCTTACAATCCTTTAATCAGTTAAAATAACTGTATTTCTATTTTATCATTGCTGCATGATTCTACCAATCACAGATGCCATTAGGGTAAAAGGAACAAACACGGAAATTCAATACACATTATTTTTGTAGCATGCTTTGCTAATATTTTTTAAAAATATAACAAATCATTACTAACCATAGGTTTTTCAGACAAATGGCACACAGCTCTGAAAGCCGGCATATCTTTCATTCATAGCAGTTGTGCATGTAGACCTTTCCAAATAGCTAACTTGAAGTTACTACTGGTTTCACTTGCTTTACAAATAGGATTTCATCCTATTCCTTATGAAGAAATGAAAGGTGCAACATGTCTCTAGCCATTAAGTGCAGAACTTTGACACTTACAATTAAATTTTCCCTATTATAAAACATTCTGTAAAAGTCATGATTATCAGCAAGAGTTTTACTGTATTCAGTTTCACCTATTAATAATAAGCCTTGCATTTGCGCCTTATTACATCTTTAAGATGTCTCAAAGCGCTTCACATAATAATAATAATTCTTGCATTTGATATAGCGCTTTTCACGTCTTCTAGATGTCTCAAATATACTGTAAAGTGAATTGACCGTATATTTTGTGGGCGAAATGCGCAGCCAATTGTGCACAACAGCATCCCACAAACAGTCATGGAATGAAGTGACCAATTTTATTTTTAAAAAATTATTACCCCCGGAAAAGAGATCCGCAAATCGACCAACAACCAGGTTCCTACCTACTGCTAGGTAAACAGAGGCGTGTGGAGTAAGGAAACTTGCCCAACATTTCGTCCTGCCGGGAATCAAACTCATGTCAATCACTTACGAGGCGAGTGCTCTAACCACTGAGCTACACTACTCCACAAAACATAGTTATTTGTAACATAGTAAATGTAGGTGACAGATGTGGTCTTATTTTAGTCATGGGAGTTGATTAGTGCTGGATTGAATCAATGTTTTACTTAGGTTGAGGTTAAGAGGACGCAAACTGGGGTAATGATGTAACATTCATCGTTATGCTGCCATAAGAACAAAGTACTAGTCTGATGTCCAGATTATGAAATGTTGTAAACTTGTATGGAGAAAGGTAAGAGTGTCATTGTGATAGCTTGAGTTAAATGAAAGTTGGATAGTGTCTCAAACAGAATGTAGCAAGTGCACAAATTATTGTTCTATTTTCTCACAAGTAAGCTTGAGTAACTGCATCAGTTCAGGAAGCTCACTTGCTCAGTAAGCAAACACCGGCAAGAGCAATCCCGCTTTCCAGGACAGTAACCTAAGTTTCAAAAGAACGGGCTAAACTTTTGTATAATGCTAGGTTTAACTTTCATGCTAGAGAAAGGTTCCATCCTGGAATCCCTCTGCCTTGCCTATTGTGGAGTCCTGTAGCTCAGTGGTTACAGCACTCGCTTTGCAAGTGAGAGACCTGAGTTCAATTCCAGGCAGAGGGCGAAACCTTGGGCAAGTTTCCTTACTCCACACAGAGCCTAATAATAATCCCTCCAAAACCAAAAACAATAATAAATTGGTCATTTTCAATCTACGACTGTTTGTGGGACATCGCTGTGCGCAATTGGCTGCCGCGTTCGCCCACAAATATACAGTCAATTCACTTTACAGTGTGTTCTGTGAAGCGCTTTGGGACGTCCTCCCGACGTGAAAAGCGCAATATCAAATGCAAGTATTAATATTATTCTTATTATTATCTCTCGCTGCCTTTAAACCTATTTTTTTTATTTTGCTTTTGAATACCTTCACTCTCACCCAAGCTTAGGTCAGTGTTCTATGGCACTTTGAGACATTTTCCCAACATTAAAGGCACAATATAAATGCAAATTGTTGTTGTTCCTGGGTACAAACTCAGCTAATCTGCTCTTCAGCCATCCACTCAAAGGCATGGTACAACAGGCAAGAGATAAGTGTGCTATTTGTTTTCTCCTTTACTGTGAGGGAGTGACTGACCTCTGTCAGGCACTTCCCCATTATGACATGGGCAAGATCAGGAACTCAGGATCCGCGCCTGTCACTACTTCATAGCACCATACCAACAATTAAGTTCTTATATTTTATGAAATTTAACTTTACAACATAGCTTGATATACAATTCACCTAGAATGTCAAATCTTAATGAGTTGATCAATTGTTACTCGTGAAAAATGGTGAAAATAGTTACCTTCATTTCCATATCCGCAAGCAATCCCTTATAAGTATTATCATTTTCCTGGTTTGATTTTAGTCTTGATTTCAGATCCTCTACCAGTTGGCGCTTCATAGTAATGTCTCTCTCCATACGTGCAATCCTTCAGAGAAATGTAACGAAAAGGCAGATTGTAATTTGTCTTTTTAAATCATTAGTATTGTTTGTATAGCATTAGTTTGTGTTGAAATAATTTTTGTGGAACACAGGACTTCTGCATGTCATTCATTTATTTTAAAAACATTTTTTAGAATTTCTCATCTTTAGATATAGTATTGCTTATATTAATATTACAACAGGAATTCAAGTGCGATTTTTCTGGTTATACGTTTTCACTACAAAGATGGAATATCTTTTCCTCTTTCCCTTCTCAAAGTAGGGATATATATCCCGAAAATCTTGCTATTCTGAGGCTGAAGACCAATATTTTCTAATTTAATATCTTACAGAATTTTGGAAATCAAATCTTAAAAACAGTTTTAATCTGGAAGCAATTTTCCACAGTACCAACATTTTTTAAAAGTCTGAGAAACCTGGGGAATTTATGGCTCAGATATAGCAGCATTTCTGTCCTTTCTTATAAATAATCAATAAAGGGATCTTGATCAGGAGCAAATACTTTTTGGATCTCTCCAACTGCTTATTCAGCACCATCTTTGATGCAAACACAAATCCTGCTGCAGTCTTGATGTTTGAAAAATATGATTTTGATCGATCTACTGGTTGTAAATGATTTCCTTCTTGGTTCATTTTCCCTCATAGGAATTGGATTTGATTCTGGCCCTAATCAAATACTCCAATGTCACTCTTGTCACATTAGTAACTCTCAAAATCACTGTCTCTCTATTCTTTTGTACTTCAAACAGAACCTATACACTGAAAGCTTTGTATGGCAGAGGATACTAGTCTTAACTATATGTTACTGGAAAGACTGTCTTTTGATCGATGTGAATGTTGATTTGGTATAAATCAGAATCTCACAGGGGTGGTCGAATGCTGGAATACAAGGAGCACTCTGAAATATGGAAGAACAAATTCTCTCATCATCAGAAGTAGCAAGAGCTTATGGCAAGAAAATAACATAAGATACGCCTCAGGGAGGCATTAGCCATAGACCATGGATACAATAAGTTACAAGAAACAGTAACAAAAGCTACTTGTTCTCTTTGGGGATTTGAAAGGTTAATCCATTTGTTAAATTTAGGGAATTTGTCTTTGTGTCCGTGAATATTTCTGCTTGCAAAGATTTGAGATTTTTTGCTGTATGCTTATAGATAACTATAGTGACATTTAAAATGATGAGCAATATTTAATTATAAATCTAAATCATTTAGTTATGAATTTATAATTTTAAATGATAAATAAAATTGAATTATAAATATGAAATATTTAGTTACAAATTTGCTGAACTGAGTGAATATTGCACAGCACCCCAGGGCATGTTAACACATTCACTAAGTTTAGCAAATGGAGCACAATAACCCTCATCCCTATAAGAATCCTGGTGCTCTTGTAATTTCCCTGGTTGCTGTGACTGACTAAACCATAGTTACGTGCAGGTTAATTAGGGAAGAATAAACCACGAGAATTATTATATCATGTACTGAATAACATTGTAAGAATGGGTCAAGAACCGCTATAATGAACTAGACAGGATAATTGCTCTGAAAATTCATCAAATATTTTGGCCATTCTGATGAAGCTTTAAATGGCTTTTTTTTAATTTCACTATTCTAGCTGTAATTCTATTCTAGCTGCCCTGAATTCTAATGTCACACATTTTGATATCATAATAATCTTTTTAGTAAATGTCATAGTTGCAGTATTTGAATTAACAGCAGTGAATAATATGCAAATGGGAATAACTAGCAGAACAGATCTTCTCGATTTTGGACCTGAGGAAGTCAACCATCTCCTCGCATTTGGAGTTGGAGGAGAGGAATGGAGGGGCATTGGAAAGGTGGGCAACAAAGCTGCTTTAAGGTAGAGGAATTGTCCAATTGTGGTGATTGTGGTGTGTTTAAACAAGCGACACTCATTCAGACAGATCAAAGATCTTCTATAATGAAAGTTTTTCACTTGAAAGACTGTTTTATATATTTAAAAAATCTGGAGAAAATAGGCTGCTTTTGTTTTCAAAAAGCAAGTATCATGCTAAACTCTTTGAAAATTCATTTTGGCAAGACGTTGAGCTTGGAGTACCAACTACACAAAGAGATAAATAATGATACATTCAATGATTGAATAACAAGTACAAAATTGGCACTGTGCCAAAATAACTCAATAATCCAGTTCTTGTTCAGTCAGTTCAAGAATGTCTCCGGATTATTATTCTTAAAAGTGTTGAAGTTAAACAAGGATTTAATAATCATGACTAAAATTAGCCAATATAACAGAAATTTAAATGAGGACTTCTAACAAAGTCACTGTCTGATAATATCCATCTGGCTGAGCCAGCAGAAAAGATACATCATCAGTAATCTCTTTGCCCACAAAACACAACCACTGCACTTTACAGTATACCCTGTGAAGTACTTTGGGATATCCTTCTGATGCGAAAGGTGTTAAATCAAATCTACGGATTATTATCTAACTAGAATTTGTTTCACAAACTCAGATCAGTTCAGACAATTGAAGTAATTAAATGTAGGTAAAATTGAAGTCTGAAGAATGAAGCTGCCACCAACCCAAGATCTGGAAATCAAATGCTAACCATGCAGCAAAATAGTTATCAAAGCAAGCAATGTTAAAAACAATACTTGTAATTATATAAGATGTCTTGAAACACTTCACAGATGGAGTGGAAGTCAGAGCAGGCTGGGAGAGTAGAGAGAGGAAGTTTCATGAAGCGATTTACATTGAGAGTTCTAGAGAATGGGGCAACTCATCGTTCTCCGCCACTGTCAAGCACTCTGGGACAATACCCTGTGTGAGGGGCGCTATAGAAATAATAATAATCTTTGCATTTCATATAGCGCCTCATCACATCTTCGAGATGTCTCAAAGAGCTTCAGTGGATACGCTGTAAAGTGAATTGACTGTATATTTTGTGAATGAAATAAAGGGAACATAATAGGATATGAACATGGGCTGATGATTTGCAAACAAAATTCAAGACAGATAAATCCAAAGATACAGCATATAGGAAATGAAGATATCCCATAGATGGAATACAACTTGACAATGAAATGAAACATGAGAGACATAATGGTGTTATTGACTTGGCTTGTTGGTCCCCATGTCAAAAGGCAAGAATAAACAAGGCTGATATGATACTGAACTATATTGCCAAATCAGTTGAGTTGAAATCTCCAGAATACATGCTCACGTTGTCTAGTACTCTGGTCAGTTGTTGTCAGGCTGCACCTGGAGTACAACATATAAATGGAATGGTCATTCATGTGGATATTTTGGAAGGATGAGATCAAATGAGCCGAAAACCTTCTTCATACAAACAAATCTTGTGTCCTGTGAAAAGCATTGGAAAAAAGTCAAGTCTAGAGCTTGCGAAGACATGTATGAGAATTTTGTCTGCATTGTGGTGAGGCAAGAATGGAGGTGGGCAATGGTATGTTGTGTATTTGGTCAAAGACCAGATATAAGGCTTAGAGGAGAGCTGAAGATCAAATAAAACGCCTGCATTCCCACGAAGTGAGCAGCTGGAATAAGCAGTGGAGAAGTTGTCAGCAAAAACTAATGCATTTATGCAGCAACTTTCATTAAAAAATGAATAGCTCAAAGCACTTTACAAAATGTAATTGATCAGAGTTGAAGTAAATGTTATTATATAGGCAAACATCATTCTATAAATAAAAATGAAACGAACAGCCAATTACCAATTGAATTGATGGTAATTAGAATTAAGTGGGGAATATGAAGCAGCATAACTGGGAGAAGAATTCCATGGGCATTTAAAATAGTAACAGCTTTGTCTACCTAAAACAGAGGCAGACAGAACTTAAATTAATTTAATCAAAGACTAGTTTGACCACTTGGCAATAAAATAAATTGTACGCAACATACAATGGCATGTAGGCAAACATAGCAAATAATCTGTGCCACCTATGTTCCACAAACAATAAAAGCCAGAAATGAGGATCTGTCAGAGAAGCAAGATGGTTTTTATGAAGTCTAACAAAGTTGAGGCTCAACCAGGGCTTGATATCTGACAGGCAGTATGTCAGGATAACAGTAGTCCTGGAGTCAGGAGTGTAAGCAGAGAGGTTGAGCAGGTGTCAGCCATATACATGTGGAAGTGGACATCACTAAGGGGGAACAAGTGCATGAGTTCCAAGGATGGAGCACTAAGAAAAGCCCCATATGACTATTTGTGGGCAGAAAGAGAAGACCTTGGAAGAAAAAAAACCTGAAGAAGCCGATGACAACAACAAATTACATTTTATAGCACCTTTCAGGTCAGGCGGACGCCCCAAGGTGCTGGACCACCATGGATTTGGAACCGAGCAGGGAGATCAGGAGGGGTGAAGGGCAGGGAGGATAGGGGTAGGAAAGTGACCAAAGGCATGGTCGAAGAGGAGGGTTGGAACATGCTGAGCAGAGGGAGCGGACAGATCAATATGGAGTTAGCAGATCAAACATAGAAGGAGCCAGATGACACTGATAAGAATGAAACCAAGAAAATGCGATTAGCACATATGTGTGTTCAAGATGCCATGATGAAATCATATAGCACCTCTCTACTAACCACACCATCACAAATGCTTTAAGTTGTTAAATTGAATGTTGCGTACTGCCTTGTGTTGCAAAGCACAGTGAGATCAAGCTTGTACAATTAAAGAAAATAAACATTTTAGACAAGAGAGTAAAACAGGGAAGAGGGACCAAACCAAAAGGCATCAATATTACTGAATCGATAATCTACAGATTTTAAGATTTTCAATATAGACTGTAATTTTCAATTTGTGTGTGAATAGGACATTGATGGCCTTGGAAAAAGACAGCTGTAACATGTTGGGTGGCGGGGAGATAAACAACTTCTGCCCCTAAAGGATTGGGAGGAGACAGTAGCCTGAAGATAGCAATGGCCTCGAGGAGAGAGCACATATCCTCTCCAGAAGCAGGATGAGTTGCGTGTCTGGGTGTCTGTGTGTGCGTGGGGTGGGGGGTGGAGAGGGGGAGGAGAGAGCGAGAGAGAGAGAGAGAGAGAGAGGCTGCTTGTGAGCGGCAGAAGAATCTGGTCCAATTAGGATCAACTATTTTTCTAATTATCTGTTACCAGATAAAGGACTCTCAACGTCTCCGAGATTGATGAGAGCATATAGCACAACAATATAAACTTCTACATTGTACAGTGATAAATAGGTAGCTTGGATTTTAAAGTTATTAGTTCAATAAGCACTTTTTATACCCTAGTTTTGTATACCCTTTGTTCTTACATATTTTCATTAAAATAAAAAAACTTTATTTTCTTGTCAAAAGTCTCTTAAGAGAAATGCCTTGAAATCACTTGAAGACTTGAGATGAATTTAAATCAGTTCAGTATTAGTCTATAGCTCTTCAGGTTTTTTTTAAACAGCACCTCTGCCAATTATTTGTGACAGATATTCATTCATTAGTTAATATTATTTCCAATAATGATACATACTAATACATAACTATTACTGCGCACAATTGTAAACCGATCAGCATGGATTTGAAGATTTTCATTAATAGGTGTGTGGAGCAGGTCAGTGATTCAAACCTAAAGATTGCATTATAAATGTGACCATACAGTGCAGCAGATTCATGTACTCCACTGTTATTTGGAGACTAGAAAAAAAGAAAGAATAATCGGAGCTCCACAAACAGGCTGTCTTCATTTCAGCAATCAAGCAGTCCCATTGGTCCTGTTTAATTTAAAAGAGATGTCCAAGACTCCAGTGCTTGACATCACAGTGGTAAATCAGATGTGCTAATCCATACAAATACGCACATCGTTAGTCAAATATTGTTCTTGTAAAAAAATATTGTGGACAATTAGGAACATGAATCAGTTATTTAATATAACCCATTATAGATTCTAAAACGATTTGAGAAGTTTTGTCAGTTTATTTTCCTTAAACCTAACACGTATTTGCTGCTGCCTGGTTTGAAAGAAAAATAAAGAGCCGGGGCACACTGTTTCATTAATATGTGTACATTTCAACAAATAAGCTTTCCTTATCTGATCATCAAATTGGTGGATGACATTAATTTAATTTTATTGCTTTCTAAACTATCATTTAATAATAATAATAATAATCCTTGAATTTGATATAGCGCTTTTCACGTCTTCAAGACGTCTCAAAGCGCTTCACAAAATATACTGTAAAGTAAATTGACTGTATAATTGTGGGCAAAACGCGGCAGCCAATTGCGTACAGCGGTGTCCCACAAACAGTCGTGGATTGACGTGAACAATTTATTATTTTTTTCTTGAGGGATTATTATTAAGCGTGTAGAGTAAGGAAATTTGCCCAAGGTTTCACCTTGCTGGGAATCAAACTCAGGTCTCTCGCTTGAGAGGCAAGTGCTCTAACCACTGAGCTACAGAGCTCCACAAATATTCTAAGGAATTCTAAAATAGGCACAAAAAAGAGATCTTTTCTCTATCCCAAAAGTTAATGGACCCACCTCTGATAATTCGGCACTCACTGGACAGTCAGTCTAGACTATCAATCTCAAGACCCAATATTTATACATTTTACGCTTCACCTCAATTAGACTAGATTTGTACATCGCTATATTGAGAGGTCACTAATTTTGTTTTCTAAGTCTCTGCATAATAATAGTTCTGATTATTAATTTAACACATCAAATGCTTCAGAATACGATACAACAAGTAACTTTATCGGCCCCGATTTTATCTGTAGCCACTTGTATGGAATTCGCACAATTTCACATAAGCAGAGTCTGGTTTTGAATTCGAGCTCAGATCAATGAGGCAAGGCTACCACTAGGTTGTGCCAAACACAACAGCTATGAGTTTGTCATACTTTTCCTGCAACTCCCGAATTTGTTCCTCCTTCAACTGTTTTTCTGCTTTCATTGTTTTAATAGTAATTGCACGCTTCGAAATCTCATTTGTTGCATTCTGAAACAGCAAAACAAAGAATAAGTTGGATATCAGAAACACACTCCACTTTGACAGCTCATTATAATAAAACCTTGCGTTGGTACAACTTGGAATGCAGCTTTAAAAGTTCTTTTTAGAGCTGAAAGCCATTCTTGAAATATTGATACCTACCTATTTATATTCCTGATAATAGTTCATGTTTGTAGCTGACTATACATTTTGCTATATCACAATTTGCCTCCTTACACCTTGTAATTGTTTGCCTTTCTACCGAAGTACAGCAAGATAACACAGGAACACTATAATTGATTTTTAAAAATTGATTTAATTGGATATAATGATTCACAAATTTCTAATGGCTTGTACATGCTTAATATTCATGTTAAGGCACATATACAATCATTTTATAGACATTTGTTGGTAAATTGCTATGTTCAAATTGGCTGCCACATTCACCTGCACAGTGTTAAAATAAACGTGGGAGCTTTGTGGGAAAATTTTGCCCTTAACGCCATAGAAAACAGAATTATGAAAATATTTTTGAATAGTGAAGAGTCCTAACCTTTAATTTACTCTGCAACTGCTTCAATTCTGCTTCCATGCTTCTGATGGGAGTAGTTGGAGTCTGGCTCGAGGTCAAAGGTGAATGCTCATCTGTTGACCTTATGCTTGAGGGCTGCTGCTCCATCATCTGGTTTAGTCTCTTGTCCAATGTATCCTTCTGCTGCTGCAACTCATTGAGGTCAAAAGTCAGCTTCTGTTTAAACGCAAAACAAATAGAAAGTCCAACTTTACTTTCAGCTAAACTCAGTGTGCTGGTTCTGATCACACACCAAGCCAACTTACAAAATGTATTGAGAGAAGAAGTATTATACTTTGAGACTGCCCACAAGCTAGGTTCCTTACATTTACTGGACTGTCCAGTTGACAAAGCAAAGCTGCCCAAGTGTGTTACCAGCTTAACTTTGATTTGTTTTGTGTGGTTCAACCTCCAACTATCTTTCAAACCCTACGTTCAGGCTCTCACTAGTCAGCTTTCCCTCATTTCAGCAATATCCCCTGCTTCTCCTTAGAGCTGTCGAGACCCTCATTGACATCTTCATCACATTCAGGCTCAACAATTCAAACGCCCCGCTCACCACTCCGCATGTCCTCCCTTGACAAGCTGTAGACCATCCAGAACTCTGCAGCTCATGTCCTCTCCTGGACTTCACAAGCCCATTATGCTCACTCGGCCCCACTCGCTTCCCATTCCCCAGCAAATCCAACTCCATTCCAGAGTCTCTCAACCTTGCCTCCACCCACCCAATCTTTAAAGCCCACCTTGGTACCCTTCTTTTTAACTGCACTTTCAGTCACCTTTCCTAACTCTCTCCTCCGCCTCGGCTCGGGTACCAGTTAGATGTGTATAGCTCTTTGAGATGTCGATACTTCTCTGATACTTTAGCTTTGGTTCAGAATTTTTACACAAAATTAAAGTATCGGCGAACAATCCATATTCAGCATAAATTACCAGACATTTACATACATATATTAGGTGTAATAAAGAAAATTTGCTAAGAGGTAAACATTGTGTATGCAAACCACAAATATTTCTGACAGCTAGGAGAAAGACTCTGCTCAGCTACTATAAATTACACAGCATGTATAAAGGGAATGCTTTGTTCAAGAGGGCACAGTCCTGTTTACTTTCAAATTTATAATACTTAGCACAAGATGACAAGAATGAACCAAATCCCTGATGTTTACTTTTAGATTTAATTCCCAGTAAACCAAATGTTGCTGTTAATTGAAAGTTGTTGATGTGTTTGCTTTTAATGTGTGAAGTTCAGATCCGCCAAGTATACACTTTCAATTCCAAGGTAGATGTCATATCGTCTCCAGCAATACTTAGCGAGAACATTTGAGACAAGTAGAATAGTTAGGCTTACTGACACAATTATGGTGAGAACACTGTGAAAATAATCGAATAAGGAATATTTTAAAGTTATGCTAAACTACATGGAGAGTGATGGATACCTGTGGCTGTTTACAGTATAAAGTAGCAATCTAACCAAGGGATGTCAATGAAATAACAAACAACATTAAACCCTGGATAAACCCAGGGATTAGATTACAGTCTTGAAACGTCTTCTCAGCATTTGTTATTAGTTGTAATATATAGCATTTTATTTTTTACATGGCTGTTTGAATAGTAGAAAGTCACTATTCCTCAAAATTTCTAGGAAATAGCGCATTTTTTTTCAAGTACCAAGTGTGGACAATTCCTACTAAAGTCTGTATAATATGTCTGTCAAAAACATTGATGAAATAAAATAAACATGTAGGAGATTTGTAAATGATTAGCCTATTTAACGGGCAAGAAATTAATGTAAACCAACTTTAAATCTGCACAAATTAGTCAAACATTCTATTGCTTATGGTACTCAAATATAGCCAGAGGTTTGTTCAAACCAGGCTTTCATCTAACATTTACTTAACCAATTACCGCATGTAAATACAGTCTCACAGATGTACATTATACAGCACTGTAATTGTGCTGAAAATGGCAGTGTAAATGCACATCAAGTCATAAAGTGTATATCTGAACCACACTAAAAACAACAAATTGCATTTATGTAGAGCCTTTCGCGTTGGGAAGAACTCAAAGAACTTGGTTCCGATCCGAGATCTGGTTAGAGCTGAGTTCTTGGTGTAATACACACGAGATTCCCTGGAGAAGATGTACTTTATAAACAGGCTGCTTTTTCTGGTGTAAGGCACCATTTTCCCAATAACTGATTTTTAAATCACAATGTCACTTGGTGACTTTTGGAGACAGAAATTTTAAAGTCAAAACAAAATAGATTAATGCCAACCAGCACTTTATCTGAGAGATTGTCGACTCACTGAGATTCAAGTGTCCCTAAACTTAAATACAACAGCAATGACTGAGCTACAATTGAGTTTTCCCCTTCTAGTTGCTGATCTCAGAACTCAAACACAACTCAATACAGTATCTCACTGCCTTTCAGAACCTAAAACAAACAGGGTCACGTGTCTGCAAGATAACGGATATAATCCATTTTAAATCCATTCTAGGCAAAGCGCTTTATAATAACATACTTTTTAACCTTCTTGTGTTTTTTAAAATACAATCTTTTATTTTAATCCTACGGTTTGACTTTTAAAATACACAGATTAGAAACATATTAGGAATTACAAGATATCTTGTGGGCTATGTTATGTTAGTTTAAGGATTAACTATTTTTAGTTCAAATTGCAAATGTTGAGACTTGCTTAACAGTTCAGCAAGTAAATGCACTGCCTGGTGTGATACTGAACCATACAGATGAGAGAGAAACAGATTTAATGTTTGGTTTAGTGCTCAGTTAGTGGATCTCAATTGCAACTCCAATAATTGGTCACAAATACCAAACTAGGAAAGACAAGAAAAACACAATTCAGGTTCTCCCTGATTATACTGCTGCTTATAAGCCTGTGTATGTCATGGTAGGGAAGAAGCAGGCTTGTCACATTCTCCATCTTCAAATATACTATCCTCTAGGGAGTGCAGTGACAGTGTAGGGTAGTCAATTTATAGATCAATATCGAAAACTTCAACTATCAATTCTTGGGTGTACATTGCTTTTACTGCACCAACATCCTAAGTTTTGGTCCATTTAAATTTAGAAAATAATTTGCCTCTTTACTTCTAAGACGTTAAATCAGTTTAGCTAATCCTAAACTGCTAGGTAGTGCTTCTGAGCAAGAATATCTTTTCATGCAACATCAATTTATTTGCAGTATACCATTATTGTTACTTCAACGAAACATGATTTAGCACTAGGGTCTGATACCGCACGTTTGAACAGTAAAGTACCATACTAAATAGTACAGTAGTGTGAACAAGATCTGTCCATGCATTCTTGTACAAATAGATCAACAAAATAATGATAAACCGTAGTCATTCATCTGATTGTGGCAGATTGTGGATCATTTCTTACTCAGATTCTCATTGCAGTCAATGCACTCTGCAAATAAATGAATTGAGTGAAGCTCTTAGGAACATAGGGAAACAGGAAGAAGACAGTCATTCAGTCGATTGAGCCTATTGCATTTCTATTGACACGTGAAAGTGCATCATTATTTAATTTTTTTATGGATGTGCTCTCTTACTTGGAATACCACACTGATATTTAGCACTGGCATTAAATGGTTGCTATTCTTTTACATATCACCACATGCTGCAGAATGCACATAGCTGTTTTGTAATATAACTTGTAACTTGCACTTATGCCTCAAAGGTATTGTAACAATAAGTAAAATATTATATCAACTTTCTCCAGTAGTGTTTGCAATAAGCTACATTGATTGTTCTTATTCTGACATGTTGCTTCACACATTGCATCTATATCTTTGTAATTGCTGCTAATTGCCAACTAAAAACTCTTCCTGAAGAACTACACTTGTGGAATATAGAGAAAAAAAAGGAAAGTGGGATGAATAAAAATGAATAATCATGTCAGCAAGCCATTTGGCCATATAAGGCAACACAGCCAAGCCAGACCTCTTCCAAACAAATTAATTCAATCAGAACATCCCAGAGTATTGAAATGAAGTTGAAGCCACCTTCGAACTTGCTGGTTAGTCTCAGCATAACTGGACGGTACTCAACATTTCCTGTTGATACTGATTAGCTAAGGAATAGAATAAAATGTATTGATAAAATATACAGTTTACAAATTCCAGTTTAGTAGTGGATTAGCTATGAAACAAAACAATAATTAGCTGGGTTGGAAAATTTGTTTTATTCGACCTAAAAAGAATGATTTGGACTGTGAATTTGATCAACTAAACTTCTGACTGTAGAGCGTATGTCTTGTGTCTCATTATTAACACTACAAAATATGGCAGATGCTGCGTTAAAACATGAACAGAAATTGGCTATGTTGTGATGCTTTTCACCAGTTGAATATTCTGCTGAACTTTTTTTTATATAGGAACATAGGAATTAGGAGCAGGAGTAGGCCATTCAGCCCCTCGAGCCTGCCCTGCCATTCAATAAGATCATGGCTGATCTTCTACCCTAACTCCATCTGCCCGTCTTATCCCCATATCCCTTAATACCTCTATCCTTTAGAAATCTATCAACCTCAGTCTTGAATATGTTCAAGGACTGAGCATTTACAGCCTTCGGGGGTAGAGAATTCCATAAATTCACTACCCTCTGAGTGAACAAGTGTTTCCTCAACTTTGGTTGAAAAGGCTGACCCTTAATCTTAAGACTGTGACCCCTAGTTGTAGATTCTCCTACCAGGGAAAACCGTCTCACACTGTCTACTCTGTCAAGCCCAATAAGAATTTTACATGTAATTCTTCTATAATCTAGAGAATATAGGCCTAGTTTACTCAGCCTATCCTCATAGGTCAACCCCCTCATCCCAGGAACCAACCTAGTGAATCTACACTGCACCCCCTCTAAGGTGAGTATGTCCTTTCTTAAATAAGGAGACCAAAACTGCACACAAAATTCTAGGTGCGGTTTCACCAAGGCCCTATACAGTTGCAGAAAGATTTCTCTACTCTTGTACTCAAACCCTTTTGCAACAAACGCCAACATGGCATTAGCTTTCCTCGTTTCTTGCTGTACCTGCATACTAACTTTTTGCGACTAATGTACAAGGACATCCAAATCCCTCTGAACACTAACACTATCTAGTATCTCCCCCTCTAGAAAATAATCTGCTTTTCGGTTTTTACTACCTAGGTGAATAA